TAACGGATCTTGAAATTCCTGCTCGATCTTTACAACCAGGTTTTCATGCTGACCTGTACGCACGAAGCTACAAAACATTATTAATAATGCATTTTTAGGCCAAGTGCCTATACGTCTTGTTACAGGATGTGTTGATGATGATGCATTTAACGGATCTTGAAATTCCTGCTCGATCTTTACAACCAGGTTTTCATGCTGACCTGTACGCACGAAGCTACAAAACATTATTAATAATGCATTTTTAGGCCAAGTGCCTATACGTCTTGTTACAGGATGTGTTGATGATGATGCATTTAACGGATCTTGAAATTCCTGCTCGATCTTTACAACCAGGTTTTCATGCTGACCTGTACGCACGAAGCTACAAAACATTATTAATATTGCTATTTTTAGGCCAAGTGCCTATACGTCTTGTTACAGGATGTGTTGATGATGATGCATTTAACGGATCTTGAAATTCCTGCTCGATCTTTACAACCAAATTTTGATGCTGACCTGTACGCACGAAGCTACAAAACATTATTAATAATGCATTTTTAGGCCAAGTGCCTATACGTCTTGTTACAGGATGTGTTGATGATGATGCATTTAACAGATCTTGAAATTCCTGCTCGATCTTTACAACCTGAAAATACTGAAAATGTATTTCCAATAGGTACTTAACCCCTCCCACAGATATATCTATTTTTGTTCAGTGCTGCCCTCTATATACAAATATTTTTTTCACATGCCACAAGCCTTGAGCTCCCATCATCATGCAACAACCCTCCACCAATAGGAATGCAACACACCTTCCTGATGCATGTGACTCACTCTTTTCAATTCTACTGAACTACCACTTCAAGTTTTTGAAGAAAATGGAAGCACTGGTTTTCAGTGGGGAGGAAGGATGGGAAAAGAGAGAAACTGGAAGACTTCATCATGATGGACAAAATGAAGAATACGTCTAGAGGACAAAACATTTAGAATGTGTAAAAAGGCCTTGAAACATCAACACTGGTCATCCACAGACCTGGTGAAAAGAACCACCAGAGAGAAACAAAAACCTCCATACAGAACATACGGATGACATAAAATCAATTGAAAGATGACAGGTTGATAATCAGATGCCAGCCTTCAATTTTATTGGGAACCACTAAGAGATGAGAGTAATAATCTGGAGTAGAGGTAAATACTCTCCCACTGGCATTCTTGGCCAAGAGATCCAAGCCCTCATCATCAAATCACCAAAGATAAAGGAGAGAGAGGAGGGAGAAAGAAGTGAAAAATGGGAAAAGAGGAGTGGAATGATAGGTCATGGGTGAGAACCTGAAGAACCCATCCATTGGCTTAAAATGGAGATCACCAAGTCTGGCGAAGAAAGACAGATGGGTTCCCACAGGGCCAGACCCAATATGGTAGTCACCGTTCAAACAAGCAACAATCCTGATATCAGGAAACAGGAGCATGGGAAGAAGAATGCTGGAAAGCTGGAATAGGAAGATATGCTTTCAAACATTCACCATTGTCCTTTCATTCTCATGGTGCAACTCCAGTATACTATATATTGATGGTATTGTAATTAGACACTAAACAAAATAGCTTAGCTTAGCTCTAGTACATCCACAGTCAAGAACTTGAAGTAATGGTACTAACAATATAAAAAGTACCAGTTTGACTAAGTAAAGTTAAAAAGAAGCAAGAGTGGCATTTATATGAAGGAAAAAAGTAGAACAGTCAAGAAATCTGAGAATAAAATTAATCTAAGTAAAGATTGCACATAGCCATCATGGTAAGTTAATATACATTTTGGTTTTATATGGTAATTGTTATTCCTGTAACACAAAAATAAATATTAATAAAACCTTTGTTTTGAATTAATAATACTTTCCAAGAGACATGTTTCTTATTTGTAGTAATGAGCTAAACTAAAAACCACCAGTTCAAAAAATTTCATGGTTCTAATTTTCATTATGAAAGAAGAAAAACCTAATACAGCTAGTGACATTGGACTTCATTCACTTTATGAATGGACAAACATTTAATAGAGAAATAAGGAATTTAGAAGATAATAGGTAAATATTATCATTATAAATACAAAAGTCCAAGTTATAAAACAAACTTCTTAGTGTTTTGTAGTAGTTGTTCTTGGGGTTATCTACAGTCTGTCCACTACACAAAATATAACATCAGAATTTAACATTTTAAGTCTATAAACATACTACTGTCCCATCAGGGGAGAGCATTTTATTAATTGTCTTATCATGACTGTTTCCATTTTTTGTATAATAAGTTTGTGTTGTTGCAGATATAAAGAAATATTTGTGTGTGTGTGTGTTTTGTTTTTTTTATTAGGGTAAGGCAATTACATGCAACTGGCTTCACATTCACCAGAATCCAAAGAAAGTCTCAAACTGACATTCAAAGTCATTTGTGACTTTCTCACAGAAACTGTAAAATAAGATCAGAACTAGAAGGGCATGTGGATCTGAAAGACTGATAAACTAGACATGAATGAAACAACAACTTGGGGTGATGCCAGTTATGGTTGAAGGCATGCTCATTTGGATGGAATTTTCTCAATCTTAGTAGTTCTGGTAATGTCTCTGAACACACTAAGGAGACACAAGAAGAAAACTCAAAAAGTATTTTAAATAGTATTTAATCATGATCCAATATATAGAACTTTTCTTACTAATGAAGATTCATACAATATTTGTCACCCTGAACAGTTGCTAGAAGTAAACAAGATACAATAGGATGATCACATTAATCCTAAGCTTGTTAAGAAAAAATTAGAAATTTTTAAGAATGATAATGCTCTGAAGCTGGACCCGGCATGGCCTGGTGGATAAGGCGCTCGACTCGCAATCTGAGGGTCGCGGGTTCGAATCCCAGTCCCACCAAACATGCTCGTCCTTTCAATGAGGGAAGGCTGTCAAGTGGGTTGCATCCTTGACGTAAGAAACAGCTTTAGAAACGATGGCAGAGCAAGATCTGCCATCGGCTCGACAGTCCGCAGGGACTATGGGAAAAAAAATAATAAAACAAATGCTCCGAATCCAGATAATATTTACTCAAAGGCTTTGAAAGAGGTTAAGTATTGGATATGTGAGCCACTTTTTACAATTTTTTTACATCCTTGAATAGTGCACAGACCAGAAGATTGGAAATTGGCTATGTTATTCCTCTTCTCAAGGGAGGTGATAAAAATTGTCCCAGTAATTATACAATAGGCCTATTAGTCCTACATCAGAGGTGGGACAGTTTTTATAAGTTTGATAAAATATACCTTGCAAAGTCATCTAACATAGTTTATAATATTATTGGATAGTCAGCATGGTTTCACTAATCTTTTAATTTTCTTTGAAGAGATCACTGCTTATGTAGGTAGATAAGTGTGGATTTGGTGTAACTGGACTTTCAGAAAGCAACTGACATGGTACCACATAAAAGGTTTGTTTAAAAAGTTACCTGTGTAGGTATGGGGGACAGATTGTATATAAAACTGGCTAGATGGAAGAAAGCAGAGGGTTGTTATAAATGGAGTTCAGTCAAACTGGATTAAAAGACTCATTGTTCGGACCTTTGTTCTTTTTGATTTACATCAATGACCCAGATGAAGGAATGGCCAATAGATTATTGACATTTGTTGATGAGATTGAAGTTTTGGATGCTGCTGACTGTAAAATGCTACTGCTTTACAAATGAATTTGGATTATTTAGTGAGTTGGGTAAATAAATGCAAGGTAATGCATGAGAGATATCACAAATTGAATAATGAGCATAATTTTGATGGGAATAATGTTTACAATATTATAGAAGAAAAAAGATGTTGGTGTTCTAGTTCATCAGTCTCTTAAGTCATCCAAGCACTGTACTGTTGCTAGTGGCAGAGCAAATAGGATTTGAGAAATATTGAATACAAGTCTAAAAAGGTTAGTCTGATGTATAGGTTATTGGTCAGGCCATATTTGGAGTATTGTGTTTAGTCTTTGGCTCCTTACCTTAGAAAGAGCAGTGAATTGTTGGAAATGGTTCAGAGGAGGGCTACTAAGATGATACATGGGATAAAAAGATTATGGTTTCTGAAATTGTTTCCACTCAAAAAAGAACAAATACATAGCATTTGCATAATGTTACCAATATTCTTTACAGCTCCTTCACCAAACTCCAGTACTTCATGCATAAACTGATAAGTACATGATTTGCAGGTGACTCTGAAAATTAAAAGACTGTGTTATTACTTCTATATTTATGTATTAATTAAGTAACAACTAAAGTTCAGTTCACTATAAATTGTTACTGAAAATGATAAACTACATTGTATTTCTTACCAATTGCAATCTCAGGCCATTTGAAGCCTCTGGTACTGGTAAATACAGGTTTCTGCAAAGATGGGCCTTCATGTTGTCTCATGATTTCAAGTATTGTAACATTCCCTGAAAAATTTTCTGTTAGTTCTACTTCATACACCTCTTCTCTCTTTTGTAGCACTCGAACCTGAAGAATGTTATCTTGCATTAGGTCTCGCAGTTTATCTGAAGGTGCTCTTGGTGGACAGTTGACCAAGCTCAAGTGCAATCCTTGTTGTGGTAGTAGAGAAAACTTTGGAAGAAGTTTGTAAAGTGATTTTATATCTTTTTTTTCACCATTTCCATAGTCAATGAATAATACATCACAGTAAGTCCCAGAAACACTCTGCAATTTTCCACGATAGAAATGTCCATCTTCAGAAAATACAGTACAAGCAAAATCTCCAACTTTTGGATTGAGAAGTGTCTCAGGAGAACCATTACTGTAAAATAAATTCAGCTGTTCTTGAAACTGTTCCAAATCCTTTACAGAGTATTTTGACAGCTGTCCAAAAAAACAAGTTGGTGATTCAAAGTATGATACATAAACAGCTTCAATCTCTTCAACTGGAGGAAGAGGAACTGTTATTTGGTTTAAAGAAGAAACAAACACCTTTATTTCTTCATTAATATCAACTGGTGGATTGGATGTCATATTATACATCAACACTTCATGAATGCCATTTTTAGTTATATTCTTGATTTTTACTACAAGAATATTATTAAGTGTCAATTCTTCAAAAAATTCCACAACCTTATGAGACTCTAGGGAAGATCTGTTCAATGCTTCTATTCCAAACAATGAACATTGGAGAGCCTGAACAGGCATTTTTTGCAAAACTGGTTTTAAACATTTGATGTTTTCCAAATCTGTAACTTCAGAATTTCCATAATCAATAAACCAAACTTCAACTTTATTATCCTGAAAAACCGACATTATTTCTGCTCTATACCATTCAGAATCCTCTGAGAAACGAGCACATACTGGTCGACCAATCCAACACTCTTCAGCTAACAACTGGAATGATGAATTGTCAGTGCCTTTGTAGACACTTACAATCTCAGCCTTTACTGTGTCAATGTTAGAAGTTTCTTGAGCTAACTGGCAATAGAAATTACCAGGACTTTGAATGTGTGACACTACAACTTCATGGGCTGTTTCCCCCATTAAATTGATTCTATTAAACTTTAAACAGTTTGGCCTTAATTTAATTGGACTTGCAATATTTCTTCCATCTACATATAAAGTAACAATGTAAGACCCATTATCTTGTTTAAGTACAGTACAAAGCAATCGTTTGTTACAGGTAGACTCTATAAGCTCTGTGGTATTGATGGTGCACTCACTGCCAAGAGAACATTCTATAGCTTGAGCAGGTAGTGTCATGAATTCCCGTGGAAGTTGGAACAACTCTGAAAAACTTTTTGTTTCAGAGTTTCCATAGTCCACAAAAAACACTCTACATTTAGCTCCAGTCACTCCACAGACCACTCCTCTGCAGTAGCTCTCATCACTACTGAACTGTGCAATGCACGGCATCCCCAGAGAAAACTGGTTTAAAGGTATCAACCCACTTCCTGAAGCAACTAACTCAGTAACTGCATCCATCAGTGAATTTAGATCTGATTCCTTCTCTACTAAATGTATATAAAATTTTTGTGGGGATTCAATATGTGACACATAAACTTGATGCTGTTTAGTTGCATCAAATGGCATTGCTCTGAGTCCATCATTGTCTGATCTATAACTACTGTGTGGAACTGCAAAACCCTTTGCAACCAAAACACAAGCAATTGGAAGCCTGACAGCTACGCTTTCTCCTAACCTACCAAGAATAATTCCAACAACCTCTTTCATTAACATTTGTTCTTCAAAAAAAGCAATAGACGTTTGATTCCAAATTCCATCTGGCCCAGGTGGGACTACATCTGCAAGGAAGCATTCAACAGCTTGAGGATGAAATGAGAAATACTTTTCTTCAATCTGACGAATATCTCCTACAGACACAATATCCACATTTCCATAATCAATATACTGCACTGCAACAACTGATCCATTAGTAGGTGGTAGAGCAACTACTTTAGCTCTATACCACTGGCCATCTCTAAATGATCTGGCACAGCACAGGGATCCTAAAGGTAACTGGCACTGATGAAGAAACCCTGGAGCATCTTTTAACACTTGATGATACTGTGTAAGAGTATCACTAATTTCCTGCACTGCATTCAAGTCAAACTGGGCCCAAAACTTTAACAACTTCCCCTGTTCGTGAGAGACATGAGTAATTCGAAGTGTATTTTCTTGAGGAAATGAATTAGAGGCCATAGTTTGATTGGTTTACTCCTTAGCACAGTCGCTAACTTAGTGTTCAAATTGTTGGCTGTCAACAGTAGTGGTACTAAAACGATAGCAAACTTAAGGCTTAAAATTAAGCTCAAATCGTAGTTTTTCAACCACTAAGCCAGCGAGTCACTGACAGTCGTTGAACTAACCCTAACGACATAGCTAATTTTATTTTCAAATTCACTCCGTCAACACGTTCCTTTAGCTAGTTTAGATTTTACCGTATAATGAGTTTTAAAATATCTTTACCATGTAACGACTGTTAAAATTAGTGAAAGTCTAGCGTCTTTCAACTCGCAAAAATTTTAAATAGCAAAATACCAAATAATGGTTGTTGATAAAAAAAAAAAATAATTATTATTAACCATTCAAAATCAAACGACGACACATGCACTTCCAACTCTAAGTTCTAACAATCCACCTATTCTATGATGCACTATTTAAACACAAGGGGAAAAGAACTATGTTCCCTTTTCAACCGGTAGATAACAAAATTATGAAACATTAAAATAATGTGGTACAGTAAACACAAAGAGTATATAATTTATACTAATTTCTCTAACAAAAAAAAAAAATAGTGTAATTGCTTTAGCAAATTGTTAGTTTTTTAATAGTGATCTCGTTTTGTTGGATGAGTTTGTTCGTTAATAAGCACAAAGCCACATAATGGGCTATCTGTGCTGTGCCACAACAACCACCGAAACCAAATATTTAGTATTAGGTCGTCAAGAAATTAATGTCGCGCTTTGGAACACTTTCATTAACCACCCCCAAAAACCATACATCACGTATAATAGTTAAACGAACCACCTAATCGTCACGTTAGTGTAGTCTATCTATTGTGTAAAGTTCAGTATACTCTAATCTCTTATAGATGGCACGCGACGAGACACACATTCCGCATGTAATGCTGTTTAAATACAAAAAGGGAAACGATGGCTCAGCAAATTTCGTTCAGGTGACTTTAGTCTTAAAAACTGTAATGATAGGGGCCGACATTTTGGAATTGATATTGATGCCCTGAAAACGCTTGTTGAGTCTAATCCAAGGCAACACATTCGTGAAATGGTTCTGAAATTGCATGTCTCTCATGAAACAAACATCTTCTTCATGGAGCTTTCCCACATTCCTTAGATGTTTATGCATTGTCTCTCACGAAACAATAGTAAAAATAAAGAAGGTGTTTGGGTGCCTCACGTAATGCGCGTAAACTATTTTTTGACAGAATTATCACCGGTGATGAAAAATGGATTATCTCTGCGAATATTAAACGTCAAAAACAATGGCTCAGTCCTAGACAAAAACCATTTCCGACCCCAAAACCTGGACTCCACCGCAGAAAGTGATGTTTTGCATTTGGTGGGACATAAAAGGAGTAATTCATTTCGAACATTTTAATCCACAGCGAACTGTCAACGCAGAGATTTACGGTCAGCAACTGGAGCGTTTAAATCAAGCCCTTCATCAAAAACGCCCTTCACTCGTCTATCGGAAAGGTGTTCTTCTCCACGACAATGCATGTCCACATGTGTCACGTTTAACGCAATACAAGATTATGGAGTTGGGTGGAGAAATTCTTCCCCACCCACCATATTCTCCAGATAGGGCATCATCAGATTATCATCTCTTTCGTTCGCTGCAGCACCATCTTAATGGGAAAACGTATGCAAATGTGGAAAATGATAAAGAGAACATCGACATGTTTTTTGCTTCAAAGCCAAGTGATTTCTTTAATCAGGGAATTAACAACCTGATTGCAAGATGGAAAAGCATCATCGATAAGAATGGAGACTATTTCATTTTAATAAATGTTTTGTTCTGATATATAAGTTGTTCGGGTTTTTCATCTAAAATAGCGACATTAATTTATGACGACCTAATACAATAAGCCCTCAGACCATAAGTGAAATATCCAGTGTTGACGATACCTTTAAGTTGAATGCTTATGGCATTGGTATAAAAGTCTATTAAAAATGGGCTTATTTGAACGATTAAAAAATTTTATAAATGGGTGTTTTTTTTCTCTTATTGTGACGAAAAAGCCGATTTTGAGAGGGTTAATATTAATGTCAAACTTTGGATAGCTTTTTTGCTAAAAATATTTCACTAAGATTTACCAGAGCTACATAATAGGCTATCTGTGCAGACTCTGCTGTAACCACCGCGAGTGACTAATCTCGAGTTTTAGCATTATAAGCCCTTATACTTACTGCTGGGCCACCAGGGGGCAAGAAAAGAGAGTTTAATCCAGGGATTCGAGAGATTAGGGAGTTGTTTGTTTGTTTAATGAAGGCAAAGCTAGTAATGTTATCTGCCACCTTCCCTAATTATAAACTGCCGACCAGATGGAAAGAAATTAGCCTGCAGAACCCACTGCAAACTATTAGTTACTATTTTAACAACAATAGTGGAATTGACTGTTAAATTATAATGCCACTACAGCTGAAAGAGCGAACAATGCCGTTCGGTGCTGTGTTTTCACTCCGTGACTCACACTATGCCACTCAAGTGGCCTCACTATTAGGGTAACTTCAAACTGGTCATTACTGATGGAAAAGCCTAGAGCAACAGCTGTCATGGCTACCCCTCAGTTGGACTGACCTGCTCAGGCACCTGCACCGTGTTTGGTTAGACCCAAACTGAACATTAACCAGCCACTCACGCATCTTGGCACTGCAATGAACCCATATTGGTTTCCTATAGGTGGACAGGACTATATGGATCTACCAATATGTTAAATACCATCAGCCCATGGGCCAAACAGCAAATGCCCAGGGTGAGAGAAGCAAAGCATCTTCTTCACTTGTGAACTGGTGGGGACGCTGTAAAAAAACTGCCTGTACTATGTAGAGCAGTCAAGACAGCAGAGCTATTGATTTCAACCAACAATTCAATAGATGCCAGCAATTTGCCAGGCAGCAAAGTTGGCATGGTTAAGAGTACTGACAGTCAAATAACCAGTTTCAGTTTAGCTAATAAAAAAGAGGCACATTCAGTAGGAAATGTTCCAAAAAACATAGAACTCCAAAGTATGCTCAGCTACTGGATTTTGGGAGCACAGCAAACTGCTTACATCGAAGAGTTTAGATGCCAACCCAGCTCTGTCAAGGCTGGGTGGAGCTTGATACATATCTGTGAGTACACAAGGGCGAGAGGGATGGAGTTTCTGGTTGGTACAGGAGCTGCAAGAACACTTATAGACCTGTTGATCTTTCAAGATGTCCAAGTAAGACTTCCACACCAGCCAGAAAATACTGACTTTATTCAGATAAATGGCAAAAACCCCTGCTCTGTGTGGGAAATGTTGCTCACGGAGTAAAAGTAGCTGTGTCTGATCTCGGATTTGAAATCTACATCCTTGGAATGGACGTACTGTGAAAGTTATATATCATTTTTATCTGTACAACAGATGAGCTGATGTTCCATGGAAAGGTAATATAATTTAATCCTTATGAAGCCCTCGAGCAGTTGAATGCTTGAGTGTATGCAGCAGAGGTAATAAAAGCACCGCCATATACACAAATGGTGTTCCATGGTTTACTCTGGACAAACTCTAGTGCATCAGTACTGTGTAACATGTTTAAAGAAACAATGCAAGAAATAAGCTGTTTCTTATATAGAATGCAGGCAACATTAGGTTTGACAGTCATCTACCCAGCAAGGGGTGAAATCCCAGTGTTGTTTTGCAATTATGGGGGATCAGCTTTCCAGTTGAAGGCAAGTGAACAGCTACCAAACCCTCTGAGGTCATTGGTTGAGAGTGTGTGAACAATCTATACCCAGTGCAGTGATATCAACTCAGTGGCCTGTTGGTTGAAAACACCAATGTATTTGTGAGACAAGATGGCTAATGCTAATTAAATTCAGCAACGGTGATTCACCATCATACATACATTTAAAGGTTCCCTGGAGCACTGGGAAGTCACCAGTGCTGAAATACAGAAGATGTTGAAGGATGGTGTCATGTAACTTTGTAGAGTGCTTGGTTGTCTTCAATAGTGAATATCAGGAAGTAGGAAGGTACATCAAGGTTCTGTGTTTATGTTATATTGATGAATGCTGTAATTCATGTTAATGTTTTCCCTTTACCAGAAGCAGATGAATGTCAGGATGTGTAGGAAGGTTTATGTTGTTTCAATAACTTGGATCTGGCATTTGGTTACTGGCAAGTCAGGCTGAACAACAAGTGTAGGCCTAATACTGCTTTTAACAGGCTTGTAAAAATTCTGCATTATGTCATTTGGTCTGTGTAATGTGCTTAAAAGAGTCTAATGGAGCTTACATTAGAGGAGCTATAATGGGAGAGATACTTGGTCTATGTTGATGATGTTTTTGTGTTTGTTCGCATTTTTGAGAATGCAGCTAAGAACCTGAGAATGGAATTCCAGTGGATATATAAAATAGGCTTGAAGGAGAAACCTGGACAGTGTTCACTCATGTAAATAGAAATGGAGTTTCCTGGTCACATTCTTGAAAGAGATGGAGTCTCTATAGATCCAGCTAAGATAGCTATGGCGAGACATTGGCCTCGACCTGTAACAGAATTAAAAGTCTACAGTTTCCTTGGGTTCATACCATATTACTCATGATAGTCTCCAAGATGATAGCACCATTATCTACTCTCACAAAAGTCAAGACACATTTTGGATGTAGCATTGAATGTGATCAAACCTTATGATCCCTATAGCTTGATTTAATGGATGTTTCAGTGGTAGCCTATCCATGAAACGACAGTGAATTATTGTTAGACACTGATGCCAGTGATAATGAAATCAGAGCAGTGCTATTTCAGTTGCAGTATGAATTATAACTGAAATAGATCCAATGATGGAGAAAGCACTGCTCACAGTTATACATGTATGGTAGGAAGTTTACTGTCTTCGTGGACCATGCTTCACTGAAATGGCTTATGAACTGTAAATATCTTGAGGGAATGATAGCATGTTTAATCACAATGCTGCAATAATATGATTTCATCACCTGGGCTCACACCACAGAGACACAGATTAATTATCTTGACGATATGGTGAGACAGTGTTTTCAATGGAATGTCCTAATCATGAAAATGTGTGGGAGTTGCAATCATAATTATTTCTGTGATAGCAAGGACAACCCACGATATAAGGGATTCCACTGGTGGATGTATGTCAAAATTAACACTTCAAGGGCTCTGGGAAGAGCAACTAAAGGGCCAAAATCTATCATGGTAATACTTGGAATGTTTGTTCATCCAAATCCCAACAGAACTGAGTGGGATTAACACTTGTCATATGTTGTGATGACATACAGAAAAATTGAACAAGTATTTAAAGGCCATTTTCCAAACATACTCATGTTCAAGCAGGAAATATTTCTCCCTATTGATGTATGATTCTGCC